GATTGTTTTCGTGCTTCAACAATTCAACGTCAAGATCATATGTTTGCTATTGTTATATATTTTTATTAGACATTTTTATCAATTTCTACTTATAATGACTATTGCTATTTGGTTATGTCGTTCTAATTGTTTTTGTTGATTATTGTTATCTATTTTTGTTTCTACATAAAATATTTTACTATTAATTGACAATCAATCTATTCAATAATTTATGACGTGTTTCATGGTTTTGTGATTAATCAATAAATCTTTTCTACTAGATGATTTAGTAATGTCTCTTATATATGTCATGTTTCATAAACTTTTAATCTTAATACCTTATTTTAGTTGAGCAAAAAAAGAAGGAAATAAAATTTAAATATTTTCATCAATAATTTAACTTATGTATCTTTCATTGGGATTCCATCACGCCACAAGATTCTATTTAGTGCTCAAACAATCATTTGTTGAATTTACATATTATATGTTTAATTTATTGTTTATCCTTACTGGATCTCAATGGATCATCTTTTCTTTTATATTTTTATCGATCATCATTTGTCTACGAAAACTTTGATAATCTGCTTTATTATTAATCTCTCATTGACCCTCACGACTACTTCATTTACATAAATTCTCTTTTTGCATCAAAAGAACACGTATTTCTTGTTATGAACTAACAAAATCCTTACTTCTTATAAAAAATTATCAACCATGGTTTCTATACTCCTGGTTTCAAATTACCTAATAAGAAGTACGTAAATTCGGGTACTCTCTTATATATTTATAATAAAGATAAATAAGATTTATTTTCTTAGTAAATTATTACCATTTTTTGTACTCAATTTTATACTAATGAAAAACATTTATTGAATTTTTTTTCGTACTTACTGAGGGTCACTACAAGAAAAGTGAACTTTGACGATGCGCCTTTTAGCGATGACATGTTTCCGCCACAAGTTATAACGATGACATGTTATTGTTATATACTCTTTCTAATGATAAATGGACTTTTAGCGACGACAAAAGTAATTGCTAAAAGTCTTGTTTCTTGCAATGGGCCCTGTTTTTACGTTCGTCCAGGGCCTATAAAATGTCAGGAATGGGCCTGACCACTGGAAAACGGGAAGGGAAGGGTTGAGATTCGTCGGAGAAGGGGATGAAGGTGGGGGTTTACCACTAGAGAAAGAAGAAATAGGAGGGGGCATTTAGGGTTCCATCGTGGTAATCGTCGACATACTTTGATCTCAATCGGAGAAATGGAATCGCTAGAGATCTCGATTTCCAGAACAAGAAACCGTCACGGAGGCTACGACATCGTGAAAACTGGAAGCTAGAAAATGAGGAGGAAGACGGAGGAGGAAGTGAATCACATGTGAATTACACCGGTTCATATGTGAATCAGTTAATTAGTTCATATGTGAATCACATAGGTTCATATGTGAATTGGTTAATTAGTTCATATGTAAATCAGTTAATTATTTCACATGTGAATCACATGGGTTATAATATATTTTTCATTAAAAAAATTGTTAATAAATTCAGATAAAATAAATGAATGAGACAAAGAGAGTACAATACAAAGGAATGCATGAAAAGGGTACAATGATCTATACATAAAATCAAGTTTTAGAATGATTACATATTGACAAACCACAATAACACTACAACCTCTATCTTGACTCTTGAGTTATGAGTATTTTTATAGTGGTTATATTTAACAACAAAATTAAAGGGCTTACAAATGAACTCAGTTGAAGTAATGGCCAAAGACATGCTTTTCTCATTGCCTCTATATTCTCTTTATGAGAAAATCATTTTTGTCTGTATTTTTATCTCTAGTAATTCATCTTTCTTATGCTTATATTCGACAAAGAAACTCAAGAACACATAAAATTAAGTCATATAATGGACATGAGTGATAAAATATTTGTCGCATCCAATAATAGAAGTTACCCCCACATACACATGTACGCATACATGCATCCCCCCCCCCCACACACACACGTACACGTACACGCACACGCACATATATATTTATATCTATACTATCTTATAAAGCATTTGGCTAAAACTCTTAAAAACTCTTAAAACTCTTAAAAACTCTTAAACCCGTTCATCTCTAATTTTATGCACATATAATTCATCTTTCTTAAAACACATAATATATACTATACTATAAAACATTTGACAAAAACTCTTAGAAACAATTTTTTATGCACGAAGTATTGTTTATTGATTCATATTACTTAAAATTTAAGATTACAAGTAAATTATGCATAAGTACAACTTATTAAAGCTCCATACTTGAATTCGTCTAACTAACAGCAGATAAACATAATCAAATATTAGATAAATATCTCATTTTAAATATAAAAAATTTAAAATATAATTATGATAATAATTGATAACTAACAGAATTTAATTAAGGAAATTACACCAAAACACAATAACTTTTAAAAAGATTAATTTAATACTGATAGCGATATTTTTTTCAAATTTTTATGATATTTTTAAATTTATATTTTATTCAAAAATAAAAATATTACCACTTTCTCAAAACCACATAAAACCAATGTTTACTTAAAATTCAAGATTA